TGAATTAGAAACCAAAAGAACAGTACAACAGATCAATGAAACTAGGAGCTGGTTCTTTGAAAGAATTAACAAGATTGATAAACCCCTGGCCAGACTGATCAAAAAGAAAAGAGAAATGACCCAAATAAACAAAATTAATAAACCAGTAGCCAGACTCATCATGAAAGAGAAGACTCAGGTAAAATCAGAAAAAAAGAGAAGTTAAAACTAACACGACAGAAACATAAAAGATTATAAAAGACTATTATAAAATATTATACACCAACAAACTGGACAAGCTAGGAGAATGCAAAGCTGGTAGAGCCACTCTGGAAAATAGTATGGAGTTTCCTCAGAAAGTTGAAAATAGAGCTACCCGATGACCCAGCAACTGCACTACTGGGTATTTACTCCAAAGATACAAATGTAGTCATCAGAAGGGGCACCTGCACCCCAATGTTTATAGCAGCAATGTCCACAATAGCCAAACTATTGGAAAGAGCCCAGATATCCATCAACAGATGAATGGATAAAGAAGATGTGGTGTATATATATATACAGTGGAATATTATGCAGCCATCAGAAAAATGAAATCTTGCCATTTGCAATGACGTGGATAGAACTAGAGGGTATTATGCTAAGCAAAATAAGTCAATTGGAGAAAGAATTTTCATATGATCTCACTGATATGTGGAATTTGAGAAACAAGGCAGAGGATCATAGGACAAGGAAGGGAAAAATGAAACAAGATGAAACCAGAGGAGGAGACAAAGCATAAGAGACTCTTAATCTCAGGAAACAAATGGAGGGTTGCTGGAGTGGAGGGGGGGGTGGGAAGGATGAGGTGGCTGGGTGATGGACATTGAGGAGGGTATGTGTTGTGAGTGCTGTGTATTTTTGAAAGAATTAACTGTGAATCAAAGACCTGTACCCCTGAAACAATATAATACATTATATGTTAATAATAAAAAAAATTATACACCAGCAAACTGGACAACCTAGAAGAAACAAAATTCTAGAAATGTACATCTTCTAAAACTGAATTAGGAAGAAATAGAAAATCTGAGCAGACCAATTACTTGTAACAAAATTGGACCCATAACCAAAAATCCCCAATAAACAGAAGTCCAGGCCCAGTGGCTTCACAGATGACTTTTACCAAACATTTATGAAGAGTTAATACCTCTCTTTCTCAAACTATTCCAAAAAACAGAAGAGGAAATAAAACTTCCAATTCATTCTATGAGGCCAGCATTACCTTGATACCAAAACCAGATACAGACACTCAAAAAAAGAAAGAAAGAAAATGAAAATTATAGGATACTCAAAAAAATAAAAAAGAAAGAAAAAGAAAATGAAAATATAGACTCAGAAATTCTCAACGGAATATGAGGAAACCAAATCCAACAATACATTAAAAGGACCATTTATCATGATCAAGTGGGATTTATTCCAGGGATGTAAGGATCTTAAGATCAGTAACAAGACAAGGATGTTCACTCTTGCCACCTTTTTCAACATTGTATTGAAAGTGCAAGCTGTAGCAGTCAGACAAGAAAAAGAAAAGGCATCCCAAATTGGTAAGGAGAAAGTAAAACTGTCACTACTTGTAGATGACATGATACTATATATAGAAAATCCTAGAGACTCCACCAAAAGACTAATAGAACTAATAAATGATTAAGTTGCTAGATGCAAAATTAACATACAGAAATATGTTGATTCTATATGCTAATAACAAAGTAGCAGAAAGAGATTTTAAGAAAAGAATCCCATTTACAATTGCACAAAAAAGAATAAAATACCTAGGAATAAATTTAACCTAGGAGATGAAAGACCTGTACTCTAAAAGTATAAAACATCATTGAAGGAAACTGAAGATAACACAACCAAATGGAAAGATAAGCCATGCTGTAGAATGGATTAATATTTTTAAATATCCATAGTACCCAAAGCCACCTACAGATTCACTGCAATCCCTATCAAAATACCAGTAACACTATTTTTCACTAGGGAACTAAAAGGAATAATCCTAATATTTGTATGGAACTACAAAAGACCATAAAAAACAAGGTAATCTTAAGATAACAAAGCTGGAGGCATCATAATCCCACATTTCAAACTATAGTAAGAAGCTATATTAATCAAAACAGTATGTTACTAGCACAAATATGAGTCACATTGATCAATGGACCCAAATAGAGAGACAGAAATAAACCCACTTATGGCAATTAATCTATGACAAAGGAGGCAAGAACATGCAATGGGGAAAAGACAGTCTCTTCAATAAATGGTGCTGGGGAAACTGGGCAGATGAATGCCAAAGAATGAAAGTAGATCACTTTCTTACACTGGACACAAAAATAAACTCAAAATGTATTAAAGACCTAAATGTAAGACCTGAAACCATAACACTCCTAAAAGAAAACATAAGCAGTAATGTCTTGCACATCAGCCTTAGTAATATTTTTCTGGATCTATCTCCTCAGGCAAGGGAAACAAAGGCAAAAATAAACAACTGAGACTACATCAAAATAGAAAGCTTTTGCACAGCCAAAAAAAACCAAACCAAAACAAAACACAACAAACGAAAAAGGCAACCTACTGAAAGACAGAAGGTATTTACAAATGATGTACTGATAATTAATATCCAAAACATATAAAGAACTGATATAACTTAACACCAAAAAAAACCCTAATAATCCACTTAAAAAATGGGCAGAGGACTTGAAGAGACATTTTTTTCAAAGATGATATACAGATGGCCAACAGACACATAAAAAGATGCTCAACATCACTACTCAGAGAAATGTAAATCAAAACCACAATGAGGTATCATTTCATACCTATAAGAATGGCTAGTATCAAAAAGTAAATAACAAGTGTTGATGAGGATGTGGATAAAAGGGAGCCCTCACGCACTGTTGGTGGGAATGTAAATTGGTGCGGCCACCAGAGAAAACAGTATGTAGATTTCTTGAAAAACTAAAATTAGAACTACCAAATGATCCAGCAATTCCTCTCCTGGGTATTTACCCAAAGAATGTGAAAACACTAATTCAAAAAGATATATGCAACCCCTATATTTATATCATTATTTACAATAGCCAAGATATGGAAGTAATCTAAGTGTTCATCAATGGATGAATAAAGAAATGTGGGGTGTGTGTGTGTGTGTGTGTGTGTGTGTGTGTGTACACACTGGAATATGACTCAGCCATAAAAAAGACTGAAATTTTGCCATCTGTGACAACACAGATGAACCTAGAGGGTTATTATGCTAACTGAATTAAGTCAGACAGAGAAAGACAAATACCATATTATTTTACTTCTATGTGGAATCTAAGAAAAAAACAAATGAACAAATAAGCAAAAGTTAATACAGAGACCTGGTGGTTGCCAGAAGGGAGGGGAGTGGGAGGATGGGCAAAATAGGTGAAGGGATTAATAAGTACAAACTTCCAGTTATAAATAATAAGTCATGAAGATGCAAAGTACAGCACAGTCAATAATACAATAATAACTTTATATGATGACAGATAGTAACTACATTTATTGTGGTAAGCATTGCATAATGTATAAAATTGTCAATCCACAATTTGTATACCTAATATAATATTGTCTGTCAACTATACTTAAATTTTAAAAAGATTACAATAAAAAAATTAAAGCTGTGAGTGGTTATGGCACAAATGAGAACTATTGCCTATCTTCACTTGCCCACAGTGGCCAGATGGTACGTGTCTTTGCTATAGATACATACAGAGTCAGAGTTTCCATTATAACACATTTTTAGTAGAAATAAAGAAAATTCCTTAACTATATTTAAAGAAAATATGCTGCTGAATATGATCAAGAATTGGAAAATGTTGAAATTGTCCCTAACCCAGATTTATTTGGATTAATGCAAAGTATATTTATTACTTTATATCTTAGATTTTTTGTTCTTTAAGCTGCTAAAATTAGAGAAACAGAGACACGTATTTATAGATATATGTAGTCACAAGAATTTACATTTCTAAAGGTAAAGGAAATTTGATTCATCTAGTCTACTTCCAAAATGCATATTCATAATTACCAATGTGATAATACTTATTTCATTCACACGAACATTTAAAGTAACATAAGAGGAAATGAGTCGGGGGAAAGTATTTCAAAAACTAGATAATAACAAGAAGTATATAACATGCTTTAAAACAATGCTAAAAATCTCAACTCATAAAAGATAAATACATCGTGCTGGGAGAGTAGGTGCTTATATAGTGCACCTGTCTTTATAAAATGTGTGTCCTTACCTTGTACATTAAAGAACTTAGTTACTCAATAGGGAGGCTAAAGGAAGAAGATGAAACAATGGGGCCTAGGAGAGATACTTAAAGCATTAGGAGCCAGTGTAACATGAAAATCAAACATATCTAAAGAAAAAGTAAATATCTGAAATTATACAGGCAATTTACTAAAGTAATTCCATTTACAAAATTATCTTCTACTCATCAATCAAGCACTTATCTTTTGTAGAATGGTAAAATATACCTATAGCTGCAATTGATATGGAATCTACAAATGTAAAGTTATAATCAAAGTACAGTTACCTTAGGTTTCCTTAGGTAAGAACATCATAGGTTTTCTTAAATAAAACTCCAAGAAAACTTCAAAAACTTGAAAATTAACGCCAAGGATCTGTATCCATTTTTACATAGGCCAATCCTCTTGTCAGAAAAGCTTGCTAGTTTTGATTATTCTCTGTGCTTACAAATTTTACTTATTCACAAAACAAGTCAAATGGAAACCAAAATGTTTTAACAAGAATAAACCTGGTTTTGGCCCAGTAATGAAGAAGTTATTCTGCTTTGCCAAACTAATGTGAAAGTAAAAACAAACTCTATTCTCTTAAGTTCTTGAGTCTTTCTCCAAATTAAAACCATTTTAGCTAATGGCATCTATCTGTGCTCATCCTGAGATACATGTATTTTGTTTCCCTGTTGACCAAGAAAATAACAAGAATCTCTGGTCATATTTACCTCAGCCCATTCTGTGGACCCCAGCAGCCCAAACTCCTCTGCGTCCCAGCTGGCAAAAATGATAGTTCTTCTAGGTCTCCAGCCTGCAATCATTGTTAACATACATTAATTAGGTACACCTGCCTAAAAATAGATGACAATTAAGTGAGTCACTTTTTGTCATCACCTACTAAGAAAACATTATTTACCTCCGCTCATCAGTTTTCCAAAACTCTGGACAATTTCTTGCAAAACAGCAGCCCCACTGGTTGGGTCAATAGCTCCGAACACCCAGGAATCCCGATGACCTCCTAGAACAACATACCTGTCTGGAAAATAAGGTGTTCAAAAGAACTACAACTTTCAATACATTACAAGTAGTTGTGATTTAGGTTTTTAAATTAAGCTTCCTTTTTGGTTGAGTTTCCTCCATAGGGGGGAAAAATCAACACTGTAAGGTAGAGATTTCTCTTAAGAGTTGCAACAATTAGCTGTTTCACATCAGTCAGAGAAAAAAAGAATCAGTTATCGACTGAAGTTTATTTTCTTACTCTTCTAATCTTTGTAAAAATGAAGTGTTTAAAAACACTCAGACTCACCAGGTTCCACAGATCCTCTGATCGTTCCAATTACATTGTAAATCCTTGTAATTTTGTTGGTGTTATGAACGTGCATTCTTACCTTCCTAGGATTTCAAAGGGATTAAATTATTTCATATAGATTATTACGTCTAACAGTTTTGTTCCACCATTTTATTATGAAAAATCTCAAAATTACAGAAAACTATAATAGGACAATGAATTCCCATATATCCACAAACTAATTCAATGATCATTAACACTGTTGATGTGTGCAATGTGTAAATGGTTAATGCATTTTACTCCTAAGTACTTAAGCATGCTTAAAGTCAGATTTTAAAACTGAATGTCAATATTTTTATTATTCTTCCCTCACAGCTATATTGTTGATATTTATTTAAAGTCCAAAATACTCTCTTATTCAAAACGTCTTGGGTATTCATTCTAAAGTTTTTAAATACACTGTATAAATTACAAAAATAAGGAAGGCAGCCAATTATGTTTTAAAGGACCAGTAAGCATTTTTAAAATGTGTCTTTGTATTCACATTAATTCCTGCTGGTACAAGATTGTTGAAGCAGAATATCAGTATATTGTTAAATAGCTGGCTGAGTGCTGCCAAAAAGAAACATGGGAAACGTGGGAAGGAAATGGGAATTTGGGAAGCACCTGCTAAAATGTACCAGACAACTATATAATGAAACTTTCCTAGCCCATCACTGTTGATTCTGATTTGGGCCAGCCTTTTAAATATCCACTCATGGAATATAATTAACCAAATTATAATTCAAGGGAAAATACAGTCAGACTCAAATAGTCAGGAAAAAAAAAGCCATTTACATTCTATGAATCCAAAATGACATGGGAAAATGCTCAGTCTCTTTTTCACAAGGAAACAAAATGAGTCTTTATCTATGAGAGGGGGCGGGGTGCATAGAGAGGACTCCCAGCAGTTTCTAAATTGTGGTTATTTATGATGGAAGAACTAAGAGGTTGTCAAAACCCGTACATTGCTAAGTGCAGATTCTGATTTTTCCCTCTATATGTATACTGTGCTGCTGAATGAATATTTAAATCATGTGCAATATTCAACTAAAGTGCCTTTGGGGAAAAAACTAATTAATGGGGTATTTTTTACATTTTATGACATTAAGGATTTATTTTGCTACTGAGAGATAAAAATTAAAAGCAAAGAAGCAGAAACATTTTTAGCATGTGTTTCTAAAAATATAAGCCTACGATCTATTAGTAAGAAACCCTGAATCATTGATGCTATGTCATTAAATGAAAAACATAAGAATGTTACAAATAAGGAATGAGGGAAAAAATCTATTTTAATCAAAACCTGAAAATAAACATAGATTATCTGTTCAGATCCTGAGAGGAGCTCATCCACGTATTTAATACTTATGTCTTTCTTAGTTTTTAGAATCATTGACTCCAGAAGTTTGTTTGTTTTTTTTAAGATTTTATTTATTTGACAGAGAGAGACACAGCGCAAGAGGGAACACAAGCAAGAGGAGTGGGAGAGGGAGAAGCAGGCTTCCTGCCGAGCAGGGAGCCCAATGTGGGGCTTGATCCCAGGACCCTGGGACCATGACTTGAACCGAAGGCAGACACTTAACAACTGAGCCACCCAGGTGCCCAGACTCCAGAGTTTTTAAGAGGATCTATTTGTTTGTCCTATTATCACTTCAAACTCATCATGTTCCAAATAACATGAACTCTACAATGTAAGCTCCACAGGGGAAGGAATTTTGTCTGTTTTGTTCACTGCTGAATCCCCAGTACACAGAATAGTGCCTGGGTTACAGTAAATGCTCAATAAATATTTGTGAAATGAATGAATATACTCCTGTAAGGAAAATGTGAAAAAGGCCTTAGCTCATCCATCAGTTAACTCTGCCTATCACTGTCTTTGACTAGAATATTTCACAACTCTGTAGAGATCAAAGTTAACTTATAGAAATACCACATCCACTGAAATATACAATCTGTCTAGTGAATGTTCAACTGATTCCTTCAAGGTAGAAGAAACAAGTTTTTTGCTATTAAGTACTTCCATTTCAGTATTCTTGATGCGCTGATTTTTTTGGTATCATCACCAAATTCTCCTTTGAACCAATTTTAATTCCTTAGTGGTTCCCTTATTAATGAATTAAATGAAATATTTGACACATGTTCATTTTATATTTGTAGGAGAAACATGGTTTTACTTAAAAAAAAATCCTTTATCATTTTTGGAAGTCCCACTGAGATGTACAATGGATTCACCTCGTAGAACCAGGTATGGGTAGCTTAAACCCAGACTTGTCTTCTTTTGGCTCTGAGGTAAAACACAAGCAGTGACAGAATTTTCACTCAGCTGACTCTATATCTCTTTTTAATTAAGTGTTTAATTTTAACACCAGTATAGAGTGTTGTATTAGTTTTAGGTGTACAATATAGTGATTCAACAATTGTATATATTACTCAGTGTCCATCATGATAAGTATACTCTTAATCACCCCCCATCATCTCTTTTACCCATCCCCCCCACCCACCTCCCCTTTGGTAGCCATCTGTTTGTTCTCTATAGTTAAGAGTCTGTTTCTTGGTCTTTCTATGAACTTCTAACTTTATACTATCTTCCCTACTGATTTAGTGTTTTGTATTTCTAGTTTGCTTATGGCAGGTAAATTATTCCCTATTGGTGGCAGCAATGATTAAGAATTTGATTTTATGTCTTGTCACTTGGTAATCTCTGTAAATGGATTAATTATCAAGAGTTCTTCTGGGTGAGAAATGACACAATCTGGACAGTTCATATGGATGAAAAATGACAGAATCTCTGTAAATCAATTAATAGATTATCAAAAGGTCTTTTTGGTGAGAAAGAACAGAGATTTTTATTTGTGTATTTGTCCACTTTGTGCTCAAATCGATTAAGAATTCTGTGCCCATGGTGAAGGAGAACAACTTTTTGATATCTAGACCAAGGGATTTGTATGTTTCTGAGTTTACTATTGAACTGAAATTGTAGAACTGAAGCTATAAGTGTTCTCTGTTCTCTGTGTCATTACGTTTCTGTTTCTAAATCAGAAAGGCCTTTTCTTTCATTGTGTATGTTAGGTTTTCCTGCTGCTGTAAATAATAACTCATATTAAAGTAACTCTGTTCTGAGTTATAGAGATAGATAAGCATTTATATAAAGTATTTCTAAAATTCCTTTAAAATAAAACATTGAACTTCTAATACTCTAAAAGTGCTGAAGAAACATTCTTACACAAACTAAAAACACCCTAAGAATGCAAGTTTGCATTGTTAATGTAAAGTGTTAGCAAACAAGATGATCTACTAATTTTGGTTTAATCAAAAGAGCTACATATTCTGATTTATCAGTGTTAAATTTCCCTTTCTCCCTCAGACAAAACTACTTAAAGTTCTAAATAATGCCATGGCTGTTTCACAACTCTACACAAGTTGATCTCTCCAATTAGCATTTCCTGCCTGCCTTGATCCAGTGGGAAACTTAATCTTTCTGTAATACTAAGCTCAATGAACAAATTCTATGATCACACCTCTACAACAATACTAATGCTAATGCATTGAGCCTTAGTGTAGTTATGTGCTTGCCCATTTTAACTCATTTAACCCACCTGCACAGTAAGTGATCAATAAACGTTAGCTACTTTCTCTCGTCTCTTGTACTCCTTCCCTTAGGGTAACTTTCAAAATGCTATACATTAGAAATACTGGGTTATCTGAAATATTGTTTTAAAACCTTGACCTGTACTTCTGAAACAAAAAATACATTATATGTTAAAAAAAGAAGATAGTAGGAAGGAAAAAATAAAGGGGGGGGGGAATTCTGAGGGGGAGACGAACCATGAGAGACTATGGAGTCTGAGAAACAAACTGAGGGTTCTAGAGGGGAGGGGGTGGGGGATGGATTAGCCTGGTGATGGGTATTAAAGAGGACACATACTGAATGGAACACTGGGTGTTATATGCAAACAATGAATCATGGGACACTACATCAAAAACTGATGTAGAAGGGGTGCCTGGGTGGCTCAGTCATTGAGCATCTGCCTTTAGCTCAGGTCATGATCCCAGGGTCCTGGGATTGAGTCCCACATCAGGCTGCTTGATAGCGGGGAGTATGCTTCTCTCCCTACTGCTCCCCCTGCTTGTGCTCTCTCTCTCTCTGTCAAATAAATAAATAAAATCTTAAAAAAAAAAAAAACCAAAAAAAACTAATGATGTAGGGAGGAGCAAGATGTCTGAGAAGTAGGAGACCTAAATTTCATCTGGTCCCAGGAATTCAGCTAGATAGGGATCAAACCATTCTGAACACCTCGGAACTCAACAGGAGATCGAAGAAAAGAATAGCAGCAACTGTCTGAACAGAAAAGCAACCACTTTCTGGAAGGTAGGACGTGCGGAGAAGTGAATCCAAGGCGATATTCGGGATGATAGATGGCGGGGGAGGGGGCCTCGGTCAGCAGCTACTGGCAAGTGATAGAGCAGCAGAGCACAAAACTGGAACTTTTAGAAGCCTGCTCTGCTGAGGGACGTCGCTCCAGTGGCTAAGCAGGGGGTGGAACCCTCGCTGGGACAGCGTGGTCTCAGTACCCTTGGGGTCACAGAAACACCGGGGTGCCTGAGTGTGGCAGAGCTCCCAGGTATCAGAGCGGGGAAGTCAGCTGCAGAGATGGAGCCAAGGAGTGGGCTCTCAGCTGAGGGTTGCCATAAACTGTGATCTGCAGCACAGTCAGGCCACTGCTCTTCCAGCCAACAAGCGGCACAGCCAGGGAGTTCCCCTTCCTCCCCAAGGAGGGGTGGCGCGGAAGCACACCACAGGGATCTGCTGGGTTTGGAGACTCCACACGGGGTCGGGTGCCAGAGATAGAAATGCTTGGTCATAGGCCACATGAGCACAGAGTGTGGCCAGTGACCAGGGAGACAGGAGTGATTGACTGCTTTTTCTGGGGGCTCACTGAGGAGTGGGGCCCCGAGTTTTCGGCTCCTCTGGGATGGAGATTGGGAGGCCACCATTTTCACTCTCATCCTCCAAAGCAGTACAGAGAGCTTGCAGGGAATAAAAGCTCCCGAGAGCAAACCCGAG